GTGTTGTCGCCCGGGCGCGGGGGGGGGGGGGGGGGGGGCAGTGGGATGGGTAAAAACTGTAGAGCCCTGGAGCTGTGGAGAGGGCCTGACACAGGCATGGGTTTGGTCTGTGACTCAGCTGGAGCAGCGAAATCCAGCCAAGCCACAAACAGTCCTTCTCATTGCGGGGGAAATGGGTAGAACAGTGGCCACTGGACTGCTGGATGCCAGGAGGGGAACTTGTACCAGTGGGGAAACTGTGCAAGCATGGGTTTATACCTGTTTCACCCAGATCAAGCTAGATTTAAATCCCATTGCACAAGGTTTAAATTTTCCACTGCACGTGCCATTTTTCTTTCAGACAAGGCACTGTGAATGCATATATGCCCAGAGTTTCTATCAGGAAAAATGTGATTCGATCCATTGAAATGTAAGACTTGTATACACCACCCAAAGGCTTACAACTTAGTGTTGATGCTGATGATGTTAGATTTCCATGCTGGAGCGAGCTTCCCCCTTGCACTGTTACACCATAAATGGAGTCATCAAAGTTATGGAAGGAACTTCCACGGTAAGTAAACTCAAAGTCAACAACAGCACTCAAAGCTGTTTCTTGTAGAAAGATAAAATGGACTGAATTCATATCGGCTTGCATAACTTTGTTTTTGACTGACAGGTTTAACTGTCTTAACATGCTTTTGCAACACATTTTTGATGGGTGTGCTTGTCAGCCTCATAACTAGCCTCCAGACCAGAAGGACTTAAACATTAATTTCTCTAGTTCCCTAATTCTCCAGCATATTTTGATTCTTGATAGGAAACAAACCTAGGAAGGAAACTTTCAGAAATTTAAGCAACTCAGGATATACTGCACTGCAACACAAGGTAGTCAAACAGATACATTCCATGTTTTTCATATTTTCTATTTGATAAACTTTTCAAAATATAAGCAAATGGAATCAATACCTCTTCTCAGTAGGTAAAAAGCATTCCACAAATGTATTCTGTGTGAATGAAAAGAATCTTAATATATATATTTTTAAAATACATTTCCCCCACCTGCTCCACAAACTATACAATGCATCTTGAAAGGTTTGGTTTTCCCCTCTTCAGCACATATTGAATGCCATCTGCTTAACTGAATAACAAGCCAAACAAAGGATAATCAAGCATTTATTGATTAAATGCACAGTTAAGGTGTCCAACAGCCCTAACTCAGCCTCATATTACCATTATATACCAAGCATAAGTGCCTGATTTAAGCACGTGACCCCACACTATATTCATTTAATTTTTAGAGAAAACCTATTCCATCTTTTTTCTCCTGTGTGTGGCCTCACTAAAGAGCAGAGTTAAGGATGTTGGAATGCCTTAACTGTGCTTTACCATACATTGATACCTTTTAAATTTAACCTTAGTTCTGAATTTCCTTTGGGTTAGGGAAAGTTACAGCATTCTTGTAATAGGTTTCACCTTCAAGCTACTTATATATCCTCTCATCCTCATCTTCCCCTTTGTTTTTTGTCAATCCATAAGAAATAGGTGTAATTCAAGCTCAAAATTAATTGCCATAGGTGTTTTTAGTAATTGCAATATCTTCCATAGTTAGTGGCAGTGGAGAATTAAAATATTATGATTTCATTAAAATTTTAAGTCACCTACTCCTGTGAACAGAGACACATCCTCTAGAAAAGACTTTGGCAATATATTAGCAGTGTTCCAGTGGGGGAACCTTGCCTACATCCAAGCCAGGGCTGGGCAACTGGGAGCTCGGCCCATACCACTGCCACTTCTCACCATCCCCTGGCTGCTTCATGGGTGCAGCTTCCAGATGCCCAGCCCCAGGGCAA